CAGGACTCTCTCTCTCTCTCTCTCTCTCTCTCTCTCTCTCTCTCTCTGCCCGGCACACGAGCCTCAAATGTTAAGTGTTTCCCAAAAAAAAAAACAAAAAAAAAGTTGAAGAACATTAACTTGCACAACCACGTGACAGGGGTATAACGCAAAGATTTGAGTCGAACAGGGCATTTCACAAACTTTTTAAAAGTCCGAAGGGTATTCCGCTCTACCCACAACTTACAGGAATTTCACTAGGCATTGATGACTTACTTATTACTCCCTCAAAAAATATACGTGAATTTTCAATTTTCAGTGTGTATTTTGCAAATTTTCCATTTTTTTCATAGTCTTTATTGAAGTTTCTTTTAGTTGGCACTGGGACTACCTGCAACCTTGCCCACACCTCACTCAGCCAGGCCACCTGGTCAGCCACTTCTGCAGGTGGGGATGGGTCCCCTATCGCCCAGTTGGTAGTGTTGTACTGCAGGAGCGAAGGCCCAGGATGCTTCACTCCTGACCATTGATCTTCATAATCTACACTCAGAAACAAAGAATCCACATAAGTAGAACTACATAAGCGGAGTATAGTCACGACTTTAAGGCAGCAGCGGACCATGGAGTCACGACCTTGCAGCATAGGGCATCGCAGCTGAAGGGAGCAGAAGTAGGAAGGCGCGCGGTGGACAGTGAGACAAATTTGGGGGCACGTGGGGTGTGATGAACGGCCTGGTAAGGGCAAACGGGGCAAATGGGGCAAACGGGGCAAACGGGCAAACGGGGCAACAGGGGGCCTTGAGTTTGGCCCGCTCCTGCAAACAAAGGGAGGGCCCGAAGAGGAAGAGGGGGAGGAAGGAGAAGGACAGTAAGGGGAGGCCAAATAAGGGGTAGCGTTTACTTTTCCTTTTCATTTCTTTGTGTATACATCCCTTAGCCCCATTTTCGTTTCGTCCTTTCTCTAATCCAGCACTTTTAAGTTGGTAGGGTACTGGTTAGTTTTGGTTGTACACAGGGTGAGAAGAGAAGAAATAAGGAATAGCTGGGAGGTTTTTGTTGAGTGGCGGTGCGTGCTGGACATTAAAAAAGGGAGTTGGTAGGTTTTACAAGGAAGCAAACGTAAAAATATTTTTGTGTAGAAAGGGGCATATGTGCAGAGAAGGAACCAGCGGACGGCAAGAAGGACAAGGATAAGAGGTGTGACTGGGTGTACCGTAGGCAAGTTTCCCGGCCAGCTGGAGCTTTTCTTAGGAAGGCCCGCACAGGGGGCCTGTCCCCTCCAAGTACACGCCTCGCCGCCGGGTGTCTACAGCTGGGCGGTTGTGGCCTTGCCATCTGTCTTTTCTATCTTCCCCCTTCTTGTCTGTGTCTCACACCTTTGTTTCGTCCAAAGACTCCAAACTTTTGCTTGCCGCGGAAGAGCAACCGGACTGGCGGCCCCCAGAATAGATGGGGCATTCGTGTATGCATGAACAACGAAAAAAAAAGAACTACATGAGTGGGACCTCACCCTGGACGCATTGCATACGAAGCTGAGCCGCGGGATCGACTAAAAAAAACTTAAGAAGACTAAAACCAACACACAAAAACCAGAAAAAAGGACATCGAAGATTCTACTTTCAGATGAGAAGATAGGTATCTAATTATGGCAAGTTCCCTTTGACTTTCTCCACTGACTTCGCCACGCCCCCCTCCCCCACCCCGCCCCCTCCTCCCATCATCAGCTTACTAATAGATGGACTCTCTATGAACAGATACAGACACAGCCAGCTTGCATGTCATGCGTATTTTCGAAGACAACATATAATAAGTATGCTGCATCTTCCTCTATACTGCATCCTCCTCACTGCCATCATTCCGCAATACCTACGCATGTCTTTTGCTGGAATACAATTGCGACCGTTTACCCAAATGTCCCATCAAAGTTCCCACAACTTTCTCCCTCTCTCCCATTGAGTAGAGAGCAACACGAGAGCGCGCGCACACACACACACACACACACACACACACACACACACACACACACACAGAGCACTTTTTCCTTAACACTCTTAAAGAGTGTAAAGGGTCTCGCGTGACGCTCCCACGGAGACCCGCTTGCCACTGTTGGGAAAGGCGGCGGGGCAAGGGGCGGGCCCACGGGACACTTTTTAATCTTTTTTTGTCGTTTTGTGGGCTCACTCGCGTCGTTTCGTTTTGGACTTAGGGCCTCGCTGCACTACTCACGAGACTAAATCTACCGCTGGAATACGGAGAAATACGTTGCTTATCGTTTTTTGTCGCTTTGTGGGCCCGTTTCGCTTTGGAATTAGGGCCTCGCTGCACTGCTCACGAAACTGAATCTACCGCTAGAGTACGGAGAAATACCTTGCTTATCTTTTTTGTCGTTTTGTGGGCCAGCTCGCATGGTTTCATTTTGGACTTAGGGCCTCGCTGCACTACTCAAGAGACTGAATCTACCGCTAGAGTGCGGAGAAATACATTGCCATCTTTTGTCTTTTGCGCACGTAGATCCACGGCCCGCGCGGTTGTTTTTCTGCGTCGTGAAAGGGCGGTCGGGACGAACGAGTCGGAGGGGGTGCGGGGAGGTGGGGATCAGGGCAGTAGACGGGGGGAGGGGCAACGCGAGGAGCAAAAGGGCGGTGGGGACGAACGGGATGAGTTGGAGGGGATGCGGGGAGGTGGGGACCAGGGCAGTGGACGGGGGGAGGGGCAACGCGAGGAGCAAAAGAGGGACCAG